TCGACCCTAATATTATGATCTATTGAAATCCCATGCGAGTCATAGCGAAAGAATTTTGCTTCTGAGTAGCCGCATTCGGACCCGAGTCTTCAAATCTAGGTATACATACACAAGTTAGCTCCTTCAAATATCCTTGATATATTTTACTGCTACACCAGCATTTTGATATTAAGTTTGTTTGGTTTCTATATCTGTCAGTGAGTAAAATTCACTTATCTTTCTTCGTATTTACTTATTTTAATCGATCATATGAGTGCTCCGATTGCGCCGAAAGCCTTTATTTCAGCTTTTTGTTTAGTCTGTGATGCAAATCCATTTTATCTTTGTCATAAAGTTCAGTTAGTATTCTATACACGTGTACTTCGAACAGAGTTCTTTCAATAATACAGCTAAATTATTTATATAGGTCTACCTATTTTATCTACATGTATAGCTCAAGATTTCCCTTGATTTTCTTGATCACATTCCAATTATTTCAGCTCACTGTGAGTGTTTCTTGTATTCTTTAAATTCTATTCGCTTATTGCTTACACATTTTCATACTTTTGCATCACTATGTTTTATTTTATTTTTCTTACTATGGGATCCGTCAAAGCAATTTCAAGCTCGCCTGCTTGTATCTATTTTTGAATTTTTTATCCATCAATATTTTAATCATGACAGGCCGAAGAGAACCAACTGAAAAACCCAATGAAGCATGCGCCTAATACTCGAATCACGAACCCTGTTGGCACCAAGTCTACCTCACGAACTAATGTCTCTGTGAACCGCAGGCGCATTACGACTACAAACGCTTCTAGAACGCCTGCCGCACAAATAGCACCTCCATCGCGTCCTAACAACGAAGCGCCGCGTACTCATAATCAAACTTCAGCTGGCTCTGTCACTCCTGTGACAATCAGTGCACCTGTACCAAAGCTAACTTCTGTCATTCCTGATAATGTATTGTCGACAACGTCAACCTTAGGTGCTACCCCCAGTTCTACCAATGGACAACTACTGAACAACGAGGCCGAGCTGCTCTTAGCAAATCTAGAAAAGACATGTATCTTTTGCGGCGAACACAATGAGGCCTTTACAGAGGCCGGCTTTGATTTGCACTATTGGAAAAGCTGTCCCATGCTTAAAAGGTGCACCAACTGCCGACAGGTCAGTTAATTTTTTTTCCTTTATCTAGACTTTTCCATTTGGCCTAATAAGTTTTAAATCTTGAAATACTTTGTTTTCATAACATTTTTTTCTTTTTTGTATCTTGTACTCTTCTGCATTATGGATAATCCAGTTGAAAGTTTAAGCCCCAAGCAATTTATTATTGGACACATGATCATCTCATTATATAGGATTTTTAAAGCTTTCTCTTCACACACTGTCTAATTTTGACTCATTTATCTAAGTCCATTTCACAGGCTATCTTCCCAGACGTTCTGTTTCTATCATAGATACAAAATAGAAGATGGCGTGACCTTTTTTTCGCAGTCTTCTGTAGCTCTATATAGTTCATTCGACCTTGTTTTCGTA